AATAGATATATATAGAAAATTGATGCACTGGCACAAGTTAGATTTAAACATTTCTATGTAAACACAATCGAAAAAAGTGCATTCCTCAATAACAATAAATAAAATGTGCATAATGCACTGACACAAGTTACACTTCTCTGTGTAAACAAACTGAAAAAGCGCAAAAAATTAAGTTTAAATTATTTTGGCTTATGGTTCCATTCAAATGAATACCTTTTCACTAAAGTAAATGAGGTTCAGTTGTTTTATCGAGAGAGAGAGAGAGAGAGAGAGAGAGAGAGAGAGAGAGAGTGGGGACAAATCAGACCCTAATAACTACCGTGGCATCTGTGTCAGCAGCTGTCTAGGTAAACTATTCTGTAGTATTCTTAATACATGAATGCTAGACTTCCTTGAGAAACAGTCAATCTTAAGTAAAAGTCAGATTGGCTTCCTCCCAAAACAACGCACCCTTCACACTTTAATCAACAAACATGTACAACAAACTAAGAATGGAAAAATATTCACCTGCTTTATTGATTTCAAGAAAGCTTTCGACTCTATTTGGCATGAAGGGCTCTATTACAGACTTTTAAAATGTGCTATAGGTGGCAAAATGTATGATCTGGTTAAATCAATGTATTTGGAAAACATGTGTGCTGTTAAAATTGGAGACAAACTAACTGATTTCTTCCACCAGAGAAGAAGCGTTTGGCAGAGTTGCAATCTAAGTCCGACTTTATTTAATGTGTATATAAATGAACTGGCTGTTGAGTTGGATAAATGTGCTGCTCCGGGCCTCTCCCTCCTAGATAGAGAGGTGAAGTCTCTGTTTTATGCTGATGACCTTGTTCTACTGTCTCCTACTGAACAAGGACTACAGCTACAGCTGGACGTAGTAGAAAAGTACCGTCAGAAATGGGCCCTGGCAGTAAACATGAAGAAAACCAATGTCATGATCTTTCAAAAACGCCCCAGGTGTCATGAGAACAAACACCAATTTACCATCAATAATCATGTCATTGAACACAGCATGAGTTATACCTAACATGTTATAACCATAACAGCATCAGGGAGTTTCAACATGGCAGTGAATGCACTAAAAGAAAAAGCTTGAAGAGCTCTATATGCAATTAAGAGAAAATTTTATAATTTCCATATTCCAATAAAAATCAGGCTTAAAATATTTGATAGTGTCATCCAGCCCATTGCGCTGTACGGTAGTGAAGTATGGGGTCCACTCAGTCATCAGAGCTTTACCCGTTGGGACAAACATCCATCAAAATCTCTACATGCAGAATTCTGCAGATACATTTTACACGTACACAGAAACACATCAACAAATGCATGTAGAGCAGAATTAGGCAGATACCCACTGATAATTAACATTCAGAAGAGAACGCTCAACTTTTTTAACCACCTGAAATCCAGCCCCAGAGACACCCTCCACTCCAAAGCCCTCCAAACCCAAGAGCTGAGCCCAGAAAAGAGTCCCCTATGTCAGTTGGTACTGAGGCTAACTGCCCCCTCTCAGACACACTCTGACCAGCCTCACAACAACACTGCTCTACAAACAGTAATCAGAGTAAAACAAATTATAGCACAATGTAAAGAAAGCTATCTGGACCATTGGGAAGAAACAACTAAAAGCCAGAGTAGACTGGAATGTTATCTTGCCCTTAAAAGAGATTATGAATGATCAGAATATCTCTCTACTGTCAGAGATAGAAAGCAGAGACAGATCCTAACCAAGTACAGGCTCAGTGACCACAAACTGCCAATCCAAACAGGAAGACACAAAAAATCATGGCAACCAAAAGAAAACAGAAAATGTGGTCACTGTTCGACAGGTGAGGTTGAGACAGAGATGCACTTTCTCCTACAATGTACAAAATTATTAATAATGTTTTATAGAGTTCGGTCTAGACCTGCTCTATTTGAAAAGTGTCCTGAGATAACTTCTGTTATGAATTGGCACTATACAAATAAAATTGAATTGAATTGAATTGAAAATTAAATAATACGAGAAAAATGTATTTGAACAAGTTCAGCTCTTTGATACCAGATTTCAAAGAGCTGAACGACCTCTCCAGATTAAAAATACTCCTCGGAGAAGGAGAGCGGGCACACCTTGCTGGACAGTATGTATTAACATGCCACAACCTGAGGGACAGTGAGTGATCGAAACACACACACACACACACACACACACACACACACACACACACACACACACACACACACACACACACTGTATATAACTAATATAATGTTCATATAATAATAATGTATATATCTTTGATTTATTGTATTGTATTTGAATACTTTGCTTTGGCAATATTGTTTTTTTTTTTTTAAACTTTCATGCCAATAAAGCCCATTTTGAATGTGAATTTGGATTTGAATTTGAGAGAGAGAGAGAGAGAGAGAGAGAGAGAGAGAGAGAGAGAGAGAATTCCGCTAGCATTGTCAACCATAGTCACCATAGCCATGTGCGCACCAGAGCCAATCACTGCAGAGCCCGCCCCCACGCGCTGACCAATACCCCTGCAGCGGGTTTTGCCGGCTGTTCGGTCCCGTGCTGTGCATCTACACTGACTGCTGTGGATTACTGACACTGAACGAATCCGGACCGAGTCTGTTCCGGTCTGAGGAGATCCGGATACGCGAGGACAACAAACTGGAATCACATCATTTTAATTACTTTATATACTGTTATATATACGGTAGTTTAAAGGTCCAGTGTGTAATATTTAGGAGGATCTATTGTCAGACATGGAATGTAATATTCATAGGTATGTTTTCATCAGTGTATAATCACCTGAAAATAAGAATCATTGTGTTTTTGTTACCTTAGAATGAGCTGTTTTTATCTACTGACACTGTGGGTCACCTTTCATGGACCGCATTGAACTGCCATGTTTCTACAGTAGCCCAGAACGGACAAACCAAATGATGACTGTAGATAGGGACTTTTAGTAATTATAACTAATCACTAAATATATACAATTTTATTGTCACCTCCTAATGATTTGAAATCCAACAATCCAATCACATCCTTGGATTCATTCTTGCGGAGGAAACTCGTTTGGAAGATGCAAACACTTACATTCAGCAGCTGGAAATATGGAGAGCAAAGACACAATTACAAATTTTGTGGGAAAGGTTATATAACTAGAAGTGGAACTAATTACTGTTGGCAGGGAGTAATAAGTAATACAATTACTCTTGATAAAAGAGTAATGAATAATAAATTAATGTTTTTGAGTAACCAGCCCTGAGTATGTATATGAAGTGTGTAAAACGAGCACATACAGTAAAATATGTATAAATATGAATATGCACTTCTCCTTGTAAACTATGCAAAAATTATTTTGTGTCATTAAATTTACATTTCCTTACTCCAAAAGCAGGAATTCAAGTGTCAGTTTGACTGTGAGGGGTCATCTCAAACTTTTAGTTTTTGGGGAAATGTTGTCAAGCACGAGCAGAGGCGATGTGCAACTGCAGTTCTCACTTGTAACAGTAGGGGGCAACCAAACACAGATGAATAGTTGCACTACCTTTTTACAGTTTTTGAAGTGACTCTAAGTTGCCAAGTGCAGTTATAAGAGCAAATTCTATGTCATAGCACTTGTGCATACCATATCATACCAATACTCTTTACTATATAGTAATACTTCACTGGCCCTGTCTCTTGTCACTCTCTTCAATTGAAAGAGTTTGATCTTTCAACAACAACATATGGCTTCTGTTTCAAAATGAAACAATTCATTATTAATCAGAGCACTCACATAAGAACATACCACTGACAGAGCGCTAAATATTTTTTGAATTTATGAACGAAATCAGCAGGAGAAGGCGGTAACAGCTTACTGTCCCTTCACATCCCCCGTCATTTCCCTCCTGTCTGTAGATTGCTACAATGGGACAATTAGAAAAATGACTACTACTGTCAGGATATAATGAAAGTTTCAGCAAATATAGCAAAAAGTTATTTTTATAAAAGTTTCCTACTGCAGTTTTAAAACAGATATATGACCCAAGTCATTAGGTCCATGTCTCAAGCAAAAGCTTAAAAGCAAAAAGACAAGGTATTAGTACCTTTTTAATAATGATATTAATGGACACTGTAAAAATACAGCTTCATACATAATAATGCAAGAAGTCAAATGTTGACACATTGTAAGAAGTTGGAATGTGGGTTATTCTGTGGTTTACTGGCTAAGATATATAATGGCGACAGGGAATGTTCAGAGGGAAAGATATGATGTCATTGAGACTGGAACAGTATGGGGCACATTGCTGTTTATAACTGACCCAGGAGGTTAGAGTCAACCTTTGATGGGAACTGGGAGAGCACTAATGAACTAAATTACTTTTTAAATCAATGTGACTGTGGTCCTATCAGCGATGTGGACCTGTGCAGAGGCATTGATTACACAGATGGGGGCATATCTCAATGTCAGTACATTACCTCACACAAGGTTCCACTGCTTAAAGCTACAGTAGGTAACTTTTATAAAAATAACTCAACCCAGTACCAATGGGGTATTTTGATCCAGTGTTGGTGTTATTTTTACAATACTGTTGGGCAATAAAATAACCCTTCTGTTGGCTGGTTTTCTACCCATTGGTACTAAAAACTAAATTTAAAGCTGCAGTAGGTGATTTTTATAGAAATAACTTTTTGTTATATTTGCTGAAACTTTCACTATATCCTGACAGTAGTACATGAGACAGAATTTACGTTCCTCTGGCTCCCTCTAGTGCTCCTAAGAATCCACTGGGGCTGAACTAATTTAACTAATCAGAGCTGAGAAAGCAATAAAGATGCTTTGGGTTGCAGGCTTGAAGACAGTAGATTGTTGTATCTCATCCCCTATATTCCAGTCTATCTCTGTAGGAATCCTTTCCATAATGTTGTCGGAATAACAATCTGAGCCTGTCAGTGACAGAACAAACACAGTGGACATACTTTGATGGGCTAATTTGTTCCCAAGCATTAACATTAGCTAAAGCTCTTCATGGTCAGGCCCCTTCATATCTTAAAGAGCTCATAGTACCCTATTACCCCACTAGAACACTACGTTCTCTGAATGCTGGGCTACTTGTGGTTCCTATAGTCTCTAAAAGTAGAACAGGAGCCAGAGCCTTCAGTTACCAAGCTCCTCTCCTGTGGAACCAGCTTCCAGTTGTGGTTTGGGAGGCAGACACCCTCTCCACATTCAAGAGTAGGCTTAAGACATTCCTCTTTGATAAAGCTTATAGTTAGGGCTGGATCAGGTGAGTCCTGAACCATCCCTTAGTTATGCTGCTATAGGCCTAGACTACCGGGGGATTTCCCATGGTGCACTGAGCTCCTCTCTTCCTCTCTCTTTCTGCACTCATTCATGTCCCATTAATGCATGTTACTAACTTCACTTCTTCCCCGGAGTTCTTGTGCTTTCTCGTCTTGCAGGTTGTCATGGATCCTGGTGATATTATTGTTATTATTATTATTACTAGTATTATTACTACAGTTACTATTATTACTATAATCACTGCTCATTGTCCCCCATCGTTGTTGTTGTTGCATTCATCTTTTTCATGTTCATGATCATCAGTCACTACTATTAGTTGTTGCTACTGTTGTTGTTGTGCACCTCTGTCTGTCTGTCTGTCTGTCTGTCTGTCTGTCTGTCTGTCTGTCTGCCTGTCTGTCTCTCTTTGTCTCTGTCTCTCTCTCTCACCCCAACTGGTCAAGGCAGACGACCACCCACCTAGAGCCGAAGGGTCTGTCCTAGGTTTCTGTCTCTTAACAGGCAGTTTTTCCTTGCCGCCGTCGCCAAGTGCTTGCTCATGGTGGTACTGTTGGGTATAATGTTATAAGGAGTTCGGTCTAGACCTGCTCTGTTTGAAAAGTGTCCTGAGATAACTTCTATTATGAATTGGCGCTATACAAATAAAATTTAATTGAACTGAATTGAATGTATGATGTGTGCTTTCCAAATTTGCTGGTATTTAGTGGAATCCATTCTTCCCTCGACCAGTGCAATGTTTACTGTGCCACTGGCTGCAACACAATCCCAAAGTTTTAAAAATATAACCCCAGAAGTTTAATCGTTTTAGACATGACCAAAACATATAGTACAGAGTGGCCAAGGACTGTCGATCACATGTAGCACCAAGACCACTCTTAACCTTAGCTATTCTAGCTTTGGACCAATTCAATTCAATTCAATTCAATTTTATTTGTATAGCGCCAATTCATAACAGAAGTTATCTCAGGACACTTTTCAAATAGAGTAGGTCTAGACCGAACTCTTTATAACATTATTTACAGAGACCCAACAGTACCACGATGAGCAAGCACTTGGCGACAAGGGCAAGGAAAAACTGCCTGTTAAAAGTCAGAAACCTAGGACAGATCCTTCGGACCAGTGGAGATGGTGTATCTTAAATTGAACCACAATGTGACTGAGACAAACAGATTCTTGGAATAGCTTTCTGCCACATATCAGCGAGTATATTTATGTCCAAATGCAAAAGCAAAAATATGTACTTAGAAATTAAGCTAATGAAACACCAAAAAGATCTTTCGTTGTAATATTTTTCCATAGTTGTATAATAGGTATTCTGGGTGTATGGAAGGATCAGCTTCCGTATAAGTCATGAGACAGACACACAGATGGTTTGCTGAGTAATGAATGACCTTCGCAGTCACCACATGTCAACCCAGCTGAACCCCTATGGGAGGTTTTTGAGTTAGTTAGACAGTTTTCCAGCACCAAACACTAAATGAAAGAATCTTTAAGAAGAATGCTGCTCACCATGCTTTTAGCTTTTCCAGATTCCATTTCTTCTGCATTTTATTTCAAGACCTGTTTGCAGACTTAAATGAGGTCTGAGCAATAATAGGAACTCTGATTGGCCAGCTGTCGCTTTCCGTTGTGAGCATGCTTTACATGGTCGGAGGTCAACAGCTGGTCAGTTTTACAAATCTATCAGTCAGCAATTCAAAAAACAGAATAAGGAGTATACTTTTGAACTTTGTGTCTTTATTGCTTACTTTAAATTGTAATTAACAAAATCAAACTATAGTAACTTTTTAACATATATATAACAATTATTAATTATTTAAAGCTCCCCACCAGTCCAAAATCAGTGTTTCTTCTTGTTCTTCTATGTTTAATCTTCACTGTGCAGAATTTGACACTAGAAGGATGTTTTCACCTTCATCTGCTGAAAGTGGAAAGTTTCTCTTTAGTCATTGAACATATAATTTTTAAGGGTTGGTGCCTGAGACATCACAAATATTTGGAAGTCTGGGCCAGTATGCAACTTGACTGATGGATTTTGATGAAGATGATGAAACGCAGATATAATAGAAAAATAATAAGACTCAAGTGTACACTATATACAGCTTTTCACATACAGATGCAATAGATGGAACATTGCACAGGTCACAGCAGGAGGTAGTAGCATGGCATAGAAATAAATATAACTGCACAGGACAAAGAATATACACAGCAGTGTAATTCAAAGGTAATACAGACTATAGAAATACACACACAACACACACACACACACACACACACACACACACACACACACACACACACACATATATATATATATGCCATAGCCTATTTGAATATGTTGTAATACATGTCTGGAGGGGCTCTTTAAGTTCAGTTTAAATGTGAATCCAAGTGCAGGACACAAGCAAGGAGGCAGATAAAGTTTAACAGATTTATTTGAGCGGTACCAGGGAATGCAGGTGATGTGGAGGTTAGATGACAGGCTTGTGGCAGGGAAAGACAAGCACAAAGATAATTGATCTATGAAAACACAAAGGAAGCAGATCGCTAGAATAACTCTTTTAAGTTTGACCTGAAACATGTACCAGAGAACTGGAGTAGATATACTGTTGAGTTGATGGAAGGCAGGTGTGCAGACTGGGGGAGGTGATGGGAGGTGATGAGTGGATTGTAGACAGGTGTGCAAAGCTGGGAGCCTGGAGGGAAGACCACACCCACAACACACAGACAGAGAGACAGACACTGGAGACACAGGGGAGGGGGAAACCCAAAAAAACCCAAGGGAGAAGGCAGGCGTAAAGCCATGGCCATGACATTAATGGAATATAATATTCAAAGGTATGTTTTCATTAGTGTATAATCACCTGAATATAGGAATCGATGTGTTTTTTGTTACCTTAGAATAAGTCATTGTTATATTTTTATCTACAGAGGGAGCAGGTTGGCTTTCACTGAGTCCTTCCATGTTGAACCACCATGTTTCTACAGTAGCCCAGAATGGACAACACAAGCTGTAGATAGGGTGGTTCGAGTTTATTTGCGAGTTTTGCGGCCACTGTAGTTTCTCCTTTACAGTTGGAATGAAAGAGTAAAGCCAGGAAGTTGCGATCTCCTTGACACCACTGGCTTTTATTATTACATGTTATATACTAATAAAAAATTTAATTATTTTTTCTTTGCTCTTTGCACTACATTTGTTGTGTTGATGACGGAACATCTTATCTTATCTTATCTTATCTTAGATGCCACTGAATCCTACACTCAAAAAGCAGTGGCCCAAGAATAGATCCTTGGGGCACCTCTTTAAGAAGCTCACACATGATCATCAATGCCTACAGATTCTGCATCAAATTTAGTGAACAAATCATTTTAAAATAACTTTAAAGAGAGAGATCTAAAAATACATGAGTAAACATTCTTTTTGTCATTCGGGTCAGAAAGAGGCCACTTCGGTGGAGCGTTCATTCATTTATCTCCATAGCTTTTAGCGCCATATCCATTTAGGAAAATGTCTGCCAATGTGACAAAAAATAAATAGATAAAAAGATTTTGTAAGTCATTATAAAGAGAAACTTTCTGAAACTAGTGATTTAGTATCTCAATATTTTGACTTAGTATGAGATAGGCCTACTCAAATACTAGGTTTCTCATTATTCTGAAATACTAAGTCAATATTTTGAAAAAGTTTCTTTTCTCCCCCCCCCATCACATTGGTGGAAATGGGCTTCAATAAAAAGTGCAGAAAAAATCAGAATTGAGGTGTACAACCAAACTGCTCGAGCCTCTTGGAAGTCTCATCACGTCCCTTTGATACTGACTCACACACACACACGCACACACACACACACACACACCCTCAGATAGCAGAGGGGGGAGGGCTGCGGTGATGCTGAGCCGCTCCAGTGACTCCAGTACGGAGGCTTGACGTAGAGAACTGGGAAGGGGCGGGGCTTGTGGTTCGTGTTGAGTCTCCAGCGGACCTTCGACAGAAGCCGGTCTGTCCGTCTTTCATTCATCACCGGAACTGTGCAGCTCGTGCATCAAGCCGCGATCTCTCATCCTGTCTCCTCCAGCGACCAGCGACGCCAAGTACACCACCGCCGACCATCACCCCGCGGTAAGAGCCCGCAGAACGGACAGCTGGAGAGCGGCTGCCGGTTAGATAACGGATGACTCCGCGCTGTCCTTTAGGTTGTCTGAAGGAAAATTACCATCCCTATATGGGCTATGGAGCGCGTGCGGTGTTCAGTGGTGCTTAGTAGGCCCGCTGGGTTCATTGTGACGTATGGGGTTTTATGATATTGTTTGATGTGCATCTCCATTGGGATTATGTAATGTGCTTAAAATGTATGCTAGGCTCCTCAATAATGACAGGATAGTGACCTTGTCGGATTATTTCGGCTCTTTTTCATCTCCTCTGCTCGGTTATCGCGGCGGTGTCACTAATGACGACACAGAGCACCGCTCAATATGCAGCTCAAACCTTGGAAAATTCTATATGTGCATGTAAGAGGCAGCTTGCTAAACATGCAATGCCTTCTGACATGGCATTAAGGTCGTTATCATATTCTGTTTGTCAATGTCCGTTTATCTGCTCTTGTAATACAACATAATGAATGATTAAGCAGACAGATTTAACTCAAAATACTGAAAAAGTGACTTGTAATTCAATGCAAAAACCATTGAAAACACTACTTTTAAGAGAATCAGGGGCGGATCTAGAGAAATAGTCATAGAGGGTGTCATGGAGGCTTTAAGGGGTGGCAGAATTATATGCTGATTTAATTGAAATCAATATATCAATAGGCTACTTGCTTGGAAATAGTTGCCCCCAAATTAAGATATATGAACTCATTAGTGTGGCACATTAGTATAGAATTGAATAGCTATATCTAAAGGTGGCTTTAGAAATCGGCACTGTTTTATCAAATCTTAAGACATTTTCTTTTTACAATTTTAAAGTATATGTGCTAATTTTCATTTTTAGAATTCATCTAAATTAATGTGTTAAAGCTGCAGTAGGTACCTTTTTAATACAAATATTTTTTGTCATATTTGCTGAACTTTCACTATATCCTGACAGTAGTACCTGAGACAGATCATCTGTGAATCTGGTTTCCTCTGGCTCCTCCTAGTGCTCCTAATGGCATTTGCATTTAGGTCCGCCCCTGGGTATAATGTTCAGGTTTTGTTCATACATTTCTAATGTTTTTTTGGCTGTGTCAGATGGGTGTCTATTGGATAACATTTTGAGGGCTCCAGGGGTCTCTGTTATTTTCAGTTGTCGCACATTAGCAGATCTGATAAAATGACATTACATTTGGTGCAGCTGTAATATTCTGTAAGGATAGTTATTTGAGTTTGATTTTATTTAAAGTTCCAGTGTGTAAAATTTAGAAGGAAAATTGAATATAATATTATGTACTGTTGGTTATTGTATAATGTTTTCCTTAGTGTATAATCATCTGAATATAAAAATAGTTATGTTTTTGTTACCTCAGAATGAGCTGTTTATATGGCCTCCATAGTTTCTTCTTTGCACTTGGAAGGGGAGAGTGAAGTAAGGGAGTTGTGATCTGCAACTACTAGATGCCATTAAATCCTACACACTGGACCTGAATTTGAGTTTGTCAAGCACAATACACACAGCACTTTTTAAATGTATTTTTCTAAACAATTGAGTTTGTAGTGACATTTTTTAATCTTTTGTGCTGAGATTTAAATAAGAAAATTATCTGCAGTTTTGTTCCTTATTACAATCATTTACATAATGTGTTAAGAAATTACCAATGTGTATGGGAATTTAGGTAAAATAGGGGATCGACCAATATGGTTTTCTCAGGGCGGATGCAGATACCGATTTAGTAATCAAGGAAACGCATAATCGATATTTGGAGCTGTATACATTTGCAGTAAAAGTGAAAATTCAAAAATTTTAATAATTATTACAAAATAGAGAAAAATGGTCAAGAGAATTTCCTTAAGGCTCAAGTTGACGTTTTCAACTTACTTCTTTTGTCCAACCAACAGTCGAATGTTGTCAATTAATTTTCTGTTGAATAATGAACTAAGAGATGTTTCAATACCATTTACTCCCTCCCAATACTGATTCTGATACCTGTACTGATACAAGTGCTTTATTTATTTTACTTTTTAACAAGCCTATTCTACTAAGCCTGTATGATCATTGTTGTGTGGTCTGGCTCAGGTTAAACTCTTTGTCAAAATCAGAGAAGGGCATGTCATGACTACATTCCTGGGGGGAAAAAAGGGGTTAATACATTACGTAGTATCGGATCAGTGCACAGACAAACGTACTTGCCGACACCCGAAACCGCATTTTAGGCAGTATCAGAGGAATTTCTGATACTGGTATTGGAACAACTGTAAGCAGCATACATCTTACAATAATGTAATAACAAATAAATATGGTCCAAGAGGTTCTTATTTGTTTTTTGTTGTTTTTATGTTATACACGTAGAGGTAATTATTTAGGTCATAGTTTTCTGGTTAAGATTCTGTAATGTCTGTAAATTATAACAAAATCGCAGAAGCACCTTAGCACTGATAACGATGAGGAATAATTTCAGGCTTCTAGTTCCCAAACTAGTCAGCCAGACACACTGGGACCCGATCCAGAACATCCCAGACTGGGATTGATACCTATATTTTTGCGGGATGATGCGCTACCTGATTACACAAAATATTCCAGTGCTATCAAATTAGACTATTGACATAGTGAGTAATGAATTTGCTATCTTATTGATGTTTATCAAGGCAAATTTAATCAAATCTTTGGACACAATAACAGAAACATCTACCCTGTGATGGCAGGTCAGGATGCGGTGTCTAGCCATTCCAGTGATTACCTGTCTTCAGGGCTCTACTTTTTACACCAGGGTTTAACTTGTGCCCCATCCTCCCTAAACATGATCCAAAACCTACCAGATTGATATTGGTACTTATTAGGGGTGTGCATCTCTCCCTTCTAAGACAATTTGATGTCTAGATACATGGGCTATGGAACAATTTGGTTTGATGCAATGGCATACGATATAACATCATAACATTAGAATTGGATCATTGACAGGTTCATGGTACATTTAAATCCATCTTGGGGTCCGTGTACTGATCTAGTTAAAATCGATTTCTGACTCTTATTGATAAGTCTTTACTCCCCTAGTACCCATTTAGTTGGATTTGGCACTTACTTTTGAAGTGCTTAAACTGGCATGTTGAGGCAGATGACCACCCAGCCGAAGGATCTGTCCTAGGTTTCTGCCACTTAAAAGGCAGTTTGTCCTTGCCGCCGTCGCCAAGTGCTTGCTCATGGTGGTACTGTTGGGTCTCTGTAAATTATGTTATAAGGAGTTTGGTCTACACCAGCTCTATTAGAAAAGTGTCCTGAGATAACTTCTATTGAACCTAAATAGATCAAGACAGCTATAGTAGCAGCATGGGCAACATTATTAAGTAGTGTCATTGGTCCTCGGCAGTGCTCCTCATAGACATAAGCATTAAGCGCTGCAAGCACTGGGTAGAAAACAAGGTCAAGTTTGTGTGGCAAACACATCTATTGATATCAACCAATACATTGAATAAAAAGAGATGAAAAATCTATGGCCCAGTGAGGCTATATTGATACAAGGGTGGTCAGGGTGTGTTGCCATATACTTGTGAATCAAACAGGTTTATCTTCTATACATTTTTACAATATGTAAAACTCTCTCTAAGGTATGCATTGTCACCCTCAGCTACACTTAATAATCACAATAACAACAAAACAAACACCTCGTGGCAGGTGAAGATGAGGATGCAGTCTACAGCTATGTTTCTATATTTAGAGTTTTCTTTTTCAAACCAGTAAGCCGCAGACAACCAGGGCTTCATTTGTACTAGATCCTGACAAAACACTCCTGGATTGGGACTGATGTCACCAGGGAGTTACAGTATTTACCAGTTTCCATCTTGCGAATACTGTTATCATCCAATCCTGGCAGGATTAACCCGTGATGGAACAAACGGATGCAAGTTGGGACCATATTTCCTCTTGATGCCTTCACATCCCACAGTTTTATGCCACACTGAGATCAGTATATGAGATTTTGGTTTTTGATGGCTATTATAGGTGTATATCAGAGCCAAGAAATATACAGGGACACTTTAGGTTGGAGGCTTGAAGATAGTTGATTGTTGAGCCTCATTCCCGGCATTGGTATTTAAGAACCTGGGAATGAGACTCAACAATTAACTGTCTTTCTTGGCTCTGATTGGTTGTTTTCATTCAGGCCCGGTGGATTTTTACAAATGCCATTAGGAGCAGAGGAACCTGATTTTTTTTCTGAAGTTTCATCAAATATGACAGTTTTTTATATAAAAGTTTGTCTTTAAGGTCATATACCAGGATTATACCATTTTCCATTCTGCCGCAATGCTGTGTCAATGCATCAAATTAATTTAAATGTTGTAGTGCTTACAGTTAGCATAACATACATGCTAACAATTACTGACTACTGATGATGAATTGCTGATTGAAGACATGCTAGAGTCAGCATGTGAACTTGCTGTGCAACAGTCTGTAATACAACACAATTCAATTCAGTTTTATTTGTATAGCGCCAATTCATAACAGAAGTTATCTCAGGACACTTTTCAAATAGAGCAGGTCTAGACCGAACTCTTTATAACATTATTTACAGAGACCCAACAGTACCACCATGAGCAAGCACTTGACGACGGGGGCAAGGAATAACTGCCTTTTTTAAGAGGCAGAAACTTAGGACAGACCCTTCGGCTCTAGGTGGGTGGTTGTCTATGGCTAAGGGTGTTTTGAAACTCCCTACAGAGTGGTATATGTATGTCCACTCTTCTGAATCTTATGAAATGTTTATTTCATTTTTTTGTTGAGACAACAAGATAAATTAACCTGTTATCCCAAAATAACAAAATAATTAACATGTGATCATTAGATAACAGCCTTTTTTTAAAAATCAATGACCGTTTAGGGCCTCCACATTAAAGGAATGAAAACGGGGTTTTTTGGTTGAACAAATGCTTCATTATAATCTCAAAAAATATTATGCCCTGACAGATGTGACTTGAGATAGACCTCAAAAT